GGTCTGAAACAAGCAATCCTGTAGTTGTCCTACACAATCATTAGCAACGAAGAGGGCGAGATTTCAGCTGCCGTACATCTGGGTTAATTTCCAGGAGATACGAATCCAAATAAGTCTGCATAGCCCGCGGGAGCATGATTCCGTTTTGGACAGAGTTGATCAATCCGTGGGATGAGTTGACTGGCGAAATGGTAATCTAACGACCGTAGTTATTATCATTCCAGCACCCTTCATATGCTAGGGAAAATATATGAGTGGCTTGCAAGCCGAACCACCTGCCTGACAAAGAGGGCTTACCGGCTAAAACACATCCCCTATTTCGATCATGCACTTCATCACAGAATAAGGCATTTTGGGTTCGCAAAGGCATGGAAATTGTGGGTAGTGGCGGGACTTCTGTGGTAAGAGTAGCAGAAACTATTGCATGTGAATAGCTACTAATAGGAAGAGCCCGGGGGATACCTACCATTAGTGACAATATAGAAATTGCGCTGTTGAAGCTGTTCCCCATCTTTCTCAACCAAGTTTCCATTCTGGTTACCCAGCTTGAAGGTATGGCTAAAGAAACAGAAAATATCCAGTATGGGATAGAGATTGGTGTTGGTAATGACTGGTGTGATCCAGAGGCCTCCGAGTGCAGCATCATGATCACCAGAAGCATAGATATAGGTATTGCGCTTTGCGAAGTCTTCCGCTGGCAGGATGTTTGATTCGCTATCTTGGTACTCGAGCATGTTAACGATCTCGCACTAACTAGCAATTGGAAAGAAGGAGGACATGTCCTGGTGGGAAAGAAAGTAGCGCTCTATGGACAGGGGGGTTGTGGATGTGAGAGAACTAAATATGGGACAAAACTTAACTTTAACCGGCAACAGGGAATCAGCGCTTATATAAGCGCGAAGCCATCGTGGTTGCGTGGCATAAATTAACATAAAATATGATTCCTTATTCTCTAACCCTCGCTTAATAAAAACAAAAACAAAGAGAGGTTTTTTTTTTGTTTCATTGCCTGGTCCTCAAGTATTCCGCCTTCGTAATCTCAGCCATGGGATCGTTCCGTGCATGGCGGAGCTTCCACACAAGATCCTCCTCAACAAAATCAAGCCTACTGTGACCCTGGTCTGTCTTTTTGTCCAGTGACTCGACCGTTATACGGACTTGGTGGACCTCGCGGCGGGTGAAGCAGTTTGCTGCAAAAATGAAAATGTCGAAATCGTTGTGCATACCACGGTCGTGGCTGGGCCTAAATATTTGGTTGTAAATCCTGAATGAAATCCACTTGTCAACAGGTGATCAAGTAAGGATTGACTGGGGGGCATACTCACCACAGGAACCCATCTTTATCAACAAGAGGTTCTCTTTACTGGCGGAAGATAGACTGGGGCATTGAAAATACAGGAGTAGGAGGAAATTCATCCCAAGCGAGAGTACTGCGTTGATATGCCGAATACCGGCAACGGTGACACATATCATAGGCGATAGCTGGAAGCATATAAGTTAAACAGCATTATATGATGCACAGCGAAGGTGAGCAGATTGATCTGAGATTCTGGTAGTATGTGGTTTCGTGGTGTAGTTGGCAGCACACCAGATAATCATTGGAAAAATATCGACTCATCTGACGCTAAACCTGATACCAGTTTTTATGATACCGTTATTTATCCTCCGGATCCACCATCGGACATCACAGCGGAAATTACTCTAAACCACAATTGGCTTAGTAGAGTGGGCTAACAAAATTCAATCACCCCCCGCTATCCCGGATCTCAACTATCCCGATACCTAGATATCCAGTATGAACTATCAAGATTTCTAAATACTCTCATACCAATACTTGACCTGTTGTCCTAGATTTCCTGCTCTACTGGAAAAATTCCGCAGATTTTAGTCATCCTCGGTCGCCTATCTCCTGGACTGCGGAAACCGTAGAAAGTTTTGTACCGCCCCTGTCAGTCTCTTTGAACTAGGTTAACAAGTTAGTTACTAAAAAATCGCGGATAGGCAAACTCCACATCATATCCCAGGCTAACTCTGGCTAGGTGATCATATCTACCCACACCATCACTCAAGGCTGCTGTGATGGCACCTTAATCATTTAGGTCTTAGACACTCGCAGGAAAAATCAAAATATATTCCGTAATTACCAGGAAGCATTTCAACTAGGCCCTCAATCCTACGGCATCGTGTTGCCAGGGGCGGTATCATACAAAACTTTCCATTCTTTCGGCAGTCCAGAAAATACTAGTAGAATTCCATCACCATAAGTCGCTAGGCCCAGACAGTTGTTAGGATATAACCTTGGCGCCTTGGCGCCTTGGCACTAAGTTTCCAATTAATACAGCCACGAGAATTCTTTTGCGGGTATGAACGTACCCCATTACATCCTGCCGAAGAGAGACTCCCGAAAACGGACAAGGGGTATTAGTCTGACCTAACCGATTCAGCTACGCAGTATGCCGTGGCCATCACAGATCACGAGGTCCTTCTAAATCGCTAAGTCCGGTGGTTCGAAGGACAAACCATGATTCTATGGACCTTTCAACGCTCTCTTGAATTGCTTATTTCCCATTGAACAGGATTTTATTGTTGACTCGCAATAGAAACCGCCCCAGCAATCTCGGTCCGTCGATTTCACAAGAATTTTCATTGTTAGTGGCGATGAGCACCCTGTGTTTTTCTGGAAATAAAGGCTTCAAGCCATATCGAGCGCAGCGTTCGCAACGGGGCAGTCTTTCCGTCCTGAGGATAGGACGAGGATAGGCTACAACTCATAGTTCGTCCAGTCCTGGAGAGAATTTTGCCCGGGGCTTTTGGCGAGAGGACGGGGAAGAGCATAGGGGACCACAACAAGGTGATGAGATGTCTTAGATTGTGGGGCCCTACGGGGCCCCACGGAAAAGGCTATTACACGCAGATCCCCACAGATTCCCGCGGATCCCCAGCGATCTCACCCAAAATCCACCGATCCCCATGGATACCTACCGTCCTCTGTTAAAAACCTGTAGTCCTTTGCCGTCATCTGTAGTCCTTACACTAGGACGGCAAAATCAGGTCTTAGGATGTCGGGCTCGTGGTCTTTGTCAAAGCCTGTGGTCCCCAATATTGTCCGGACTGGGCGGACCATGAATTTATAGTCCCGTCCAGTCCAGTCTTGTTGGCGGTATCCCTGCGGGGCCTCCGGTGCCCCCGGACCGGTGCAGACGCTGATCGAGAGGATCTCTACCCGGGACGACGCCGATAAGGAGATGCGCGAAAGCATCCACACTATTTTTGATCCCGTCGGAATAGACACTCTTTACGGGATCAGCGCCCTCGGAGCGAGACTTTTCATCTATACTAACTATACACCGAGAGAGCGGGGATGTCGAGCCCCGAGGAATTGTCACAAATACACTCCGGGTAACCCATATAGCTCCTATGGAGCGTTGGAATATCAACCTTCTTGATCCGGAAGGAGAGAAATGCATGCGTGAGATTGTAGCTCACATCAATAGAATGTGTCCAGAGCTATCCCCAGGTTGGTTGGCCACATTGTTCGAAATTTGGGAGAGTTTGACTAATATGTTTAGAGGGTTCTGTAGGCAGGAATGGTGTCTAATTTGCTAGGCATTGGGGATGGGGCTCAGCGGGGGTGGGTAGAATAGGCTTGGGGGGAGGGGTGGGGCTGTCTTTGTCCGGGGTTGTGCCGGGGTTCTTGGTGGAGTTGTGTTGTCATGTGTGCGGTGGGGGGGGGGTTGCTCTGGAATTTCTCTGCTATTTTTGTCACTGGGAGGTGGTTTTTGAAGCTGGATTCGTGGAGTCGCACCCGGAGGGCCCGTGGGCTGTGTGTAGTTTTTGTTTCATGAGGTACGTTTGTCATTACCCGCTTAATAGCATGTCGTCTAATTTGCTAAGCAGTATGGCATGTAACTGGGGGAGGTGTTTATTGTTGTTGGGGTCAGGGGGGGTCCATGGTAGAGTTGTACTGTCGTGTGTGTAGTGTGGTGTTTGCTCTAGAAAACAGATGCTGTGGTTTTTAAACGGAGGTGAGTTTTTTTTTTGCACCGCAATTTTAAGTGCGGCCTTAAGTCCCTAGAAGAACTGAGGAGGATACTGTGGCCTTTCCGCAGCAAACCTTGAACCTTTTTGATTGGACACGGCCTTGACGATAGTTTCGGGAAATTAATTTGACAAAACACACCACCTGTTGAAAGAAACAGCCTCCTCAGTTTTCTAAAGTTGTGTCAACCAAGGTGAAAACAGTAGTAACAGGCATGAGGTTCTCACAGTCGTCGGGAAGGTTGTGGGGCTAACCGGAGCATGTCCGACGGGTCTACCCACACACCTTCCTGTACACCACCATGAGCAGGGGAAAGGAAGATCACATTCAGGGCTAGAGGGGGTGTTTGATTGCTTGGAATATCGAGTGATTATTTCGTGGTATAGTTCCTTCTATGATACACCAGGTCCCTTGTGGCTTTTCCGTGGCTAAACCTAACTAGGTTAAACTTTCACAGGGGCCGAGGGCTCCTGGAACTGTCCCAGCCTCCCAAAGTTTCGTTTCCCCTTTTATTTTTTTTATTTTTTCCTTTTCCCCTACCTCTTTCCACTTGTGAAAATAATGTTCCAGACCTTCAAGAACGCGTCGCGTTCTGTCCACAGAAATGGACTATGGATTTTATGGGAAGATGGAGACATTCATTGGGCTACCTCACGGCATTACTCTGCGGCAGCTTGTTTGTCCTTTGTGTGTTTGTGGATAGTTTCTGCACGATCCCCCCCCTGTTGGTTCTTTTTTACCCCCTCCCTTTCAGCCTGTGCTGTCTATATTTATGATTGAACACTTGCTTCCCTCTTAGATATCACAAAACCATGCATCTGTGATTATCCAGTGAAACCATCTATCCCGTCAGGTGCCGCGCCATCTGCCGTAATTATGGCAGTCTAACATTGTTATTTAGCAGCTATCTCTGACGTTTATGTATCCGTGTTCTAGAAGCAGCTCCCCACTTATTTCTGCGTCCTAGAGACATATTGGTAGTCTCCTGGATTGTCCTCGCAATGGTCGAGCGGACCTTTCCGTCTTCCAAGATGGGTGAGACATGGATGGTGCGGCTAAGTGGAGCGGAAACCTGCTCTCGGATGATTGTCGGATGCTGGTCAGCCAAAACCATTCTACCGTCACCTTGTATGGCTACAATAAACCCCCACACACCCAACCACATCAACAAATAACCTGGTGAATAAACGGGGAAACAGGACCGCAATATCTTACGCTGAGCAGCCATCATCTGCGCCCCCAACCTCGGCAATTCCATCATGACCCCTCCATCAGCCATGGCCTCGACTATAGGGGCGTAGAGAGCAGGACCGGATCCGCACAGAACGGTGCAAGAGTCCATATGATCCTCACCGAGCACCAATGAGGGGCCAACCTGCTAGAATATCCAGGAAACCAGAGTCTTCTGCCTCGGGGGGATATCGTCGGCCGCCGAAATCACGGTCATGCTTTCGCAAATATATCCACATTAATACCCTGCCCCTTCCCAACAAAAAAGAACCCCGCTCCAGAGGGTGGTAAGTGACAATCGTACCCTTGAAGCAATATTTGGTATGGTCCTATCCACCCTAATACTACCGCGTACCACCTCCTTGAGCGCAGCAATCTTAGCCCCAGCAGGAATACTAACGAGCAGCTAACCCTCCGATGCCTTGAGCGTGCCCTCCTCGCCCAATATCTCGGCGTACATCTGCGGCTTGCAGCCCAGAATGACCACCTCCGCGCGCCGCACGCCCGTGACGTTGCTACACATTTAGACCTCAATGGGCATGCCGGTGGACTCCTCGAATGCGCGGCGCACGCGGGAAGCGGACACGGGGGGATTGACACATGCCGTGAGCCTCGAGGGCAAGCGGTGGAGGTTTTGCTAGCGTCGTGGAAGCGTGTTGGAAGGAGGGTAGCGGTCAGTGTGCTGGTACCGGGAGCACTGGGGAGGCCGAGGCTATTGAGGCTGGAGAGGATTCCGGAGAGAATGGTGACGCCCATGGTGTCGCATCCGAGGAATGCGAGGGTTGGCGATTCGGAGCTTTGCTCCGGTTTTTTTTTTTACGATACCTTTTTTCTGGTTTGCGTTGGAGTGTTTGTTATGGTGTGTTTGGACACGACCGTTCCGTTCCGTTCGCCCCTACGAACGACCGTTTGCTTCCGTTTTGAAACGGAAACATCAGAACAAGTGCCCGGCAACCACAAAATTAATCAACCGTTCCGTTTAGAAATGTGCCAAGTCAACAATTTTAAATTGGAAGCTGGTCGTACTCAATTTATGCCCTAAATTAACTAGTTCTATACAGTAGGAAATCAAAAAATCAAAAACAGGGCAATTCTATTGAAAATCACCGGAGATCATTCCATCTCCCTCACTTGCGGTCAATGGATAAATATCTTTTCTTACCTATTTCTATTTGTGGCACCTTTGTCCGTTTACTTTTTCTCTATTTGTCATTGATTTCTGATCAGTTACGGGAATGGATATACCTTGCATAAACACTCTATATGGGTGGAACCATGTGATATAAGAAATAGTTGCATACAGCAAGGAAGCAGGAAGGTTGATATCGGGTATCAGCGTAGGTACCGGAACTCTGGAGTTGGCTGGAACCTACCGGAGGGATTCCCGGAGGATCCCAAGGTGTTTGGCATTTCTGTTGTTTTTTCTTTCTCACAGAGGCTGGAACACAGTACCTGGAGGGTGGATAATTTGTCTATATAAAGTCCTTCCTTATTCCGTAGATAAAAAAGATAAGCAACAGAGATACAGTGCACTCGTGTCTAAAACGACATATCCCATATTCTTATTTCTTCCACTCCTGCCTTCAGTCTTCACAATCACCATCACTTTTACAATAAATTCCTCCTCTGATATAAGTTCATAATATGACATTACAATTGTATTTCTATTTCTTGTAGAACTCAAAGATGTCTACTAGCAACAATGCAGGTGCAGTTAACTATCTAAAACCTAGTATTTAATGTTCGGAAACTGGTAACTCGCAGGGTCAGGGGAAGTTCCTGCGTTGGTAGGCTTCCAGATAGTGCTGAATCCATTTTAAAATCCTGGGGTTTTTTTTATTAGGAAGATTGTAGTTATGCTTTTGGTGCTGCAAAGATAGTACTTATCACAAGATTGGCTTCTTTAATACAAAAGTTAAAAATTATAAAAAAAGTATAGGGCTGAAATGGAAGAAAACATGAGGCCTAATAACAATTACTGCATGGCAACAAATGGTTGACTGTTGATCAAAACAGGCTGTTCTTGGGCAACCGCTGCAAAATGGAAGGAGTCCGTTCCTGCCAAACACAACCTGAGTTGGTTGGTTGGTGGGGTAAGTTAGGTGGGGAGATGAACTTTATCGGTATCGTAGTCCTAGCGGTTACCAACCGTTAAGTTAAATTGCGATATCATATATACCCGCCTCAGTGGAGAAAATCAAGAAAGAATCGGGGCCAGAGTAAGGGTTAGGTATTCTCTCCCCAATGCCATAATCATACAGGCTATCACCGTATGGCAAGGGGAACAGAAAACGGGTGGAGTGTGGGTTACGGATGGATCACGGTCCAGTCCTAGGCTATCATTGTTTCACTGGTAATTCTCCGAACGCTGAGGAGGGGAGGAGAGAACTAATGAACCCATGCTGTGCCGCGGCAGCTGGGATCTCGGCTTCGCCATGCGGCGTGTGGTGGATATTGTTGTAAATCGCCGGTACTCTAACTAAGGATGATTGAGGGATATTAGAGACACCCCCACAGCCAGCATTGATTTCTTATTTGTAATGCTTATGAGTTTGTTATTTGTCGAGCGGGGCAGGAGGTTCTAGACCACCTTGGTATGAAGCCAGCGGGAGGGGTCAAGGGAAATGGTAGTGCACGAGGAGATCATAGAAAGGATGATTGGTTATACAAAGCGGGGTAGGATAGAAGATGGAAGAAACACAAGGAGATAGTTAAAAGAGGGGTAAGAGCGGGGATAGTGTGATCATGTTTGGAGGACAAGCAGAATTTTCCTTCTATCTGCTGTGTATATAAAGGCATAAGGATACGGGAAGGAAGTGAGAGAAATAAGGGCAGCAGACACGGGTAGCAAGCACGGCTACAGATACAAAGTACAAATATACAGAGAGCAATAAAAGAAAACGAAAGCGAGACCAAGATACCTTCTGCGTGCGAGATACCGACTATATTACACAAATTTCAACAGATATCATACCATGCTGGGGTCTGTTGGTGTCAGCTACAGTACAATTTGTACGCACGGGATATCACTCGGTATTCTAGGTTTCCAGGCTGTTGGAAATGTTACCGCAATATGATGAGTAGTGCGGATATGTTGGGCCGGCTGTTGGGCCACTTGGAACATGCGGACCTAGGAAATGACTGAAGTCACATCGATGTATATTCATGCCACAAATTGCTATAAGTATGGCGATCTGGAATGTATCTGTAGAATAACAAGAAGAACAACCGTCTTTTTCTTTCTCCTATTTCTTGATCAGTCCCATCACCTTGTACTTCCACTACGGCCTTTTCTGTGTGACCTCCAACACAGGCTTTCTAACGGTATCCCATAAGCTGTCCAGAAAATCAGTCCAATTGAAACTCTGGAACCCTAACTAGTTTTGGTAATCGGGAGGCAATCTGCGCAGACTCACTTGCTTCACTGATGGTTATGCTCAGCGATATACATGTCACAGTATTATGAGCACTACGCTACGCTAGGCCGACGAAGATTTTCCTGTCACAGTTGCCAAAGCCGGTTAGTGTTCCACATTTTAACATGGACTGAATGTCTCGACAGCTTATGGGATAGGCCCGAGAACGAGCATCACAGCGTCGCTCGAAGCATTGACTGGGTTACGTCGCTCGGATTTCAGGTTTGTGGCGTCGAGGGGATTCGTTCCCTGTATTATGTTTCAATATCGATTGGGTCCGAACCCCCGATGCGTGATTATTCCGAGCCTTGCGCTTAATTACCGTAACTCCTCCAGTATCCTCTCCTGGAACTTCATGTTTATCGGGTTAGGGTACGATAATGTGAACCTGTTTTGACTTCATTTAGCTCTCCCACCAAAGGTAGCCTACCATGCCCGTAGCTCACCCAACCAGAATTTGAACCTGATTGGATTGGGTCTGTGAACTCCCAGCACGCGTCTTAATATTTCTTATTGCGGTAATCCAAATGTTGGAGGTATCCGGTTTCGGCAAGCTGGATTGGTTTGCGCTCGATGCTGGGAAGATGGATTTTGGGCAGAGTTAGACTTCCTCCGTCTTCCATTTGTCTGTTTCCACTAAGGGGGAGTCGTGGTTAATTGTGGGAGGGGAGGGGGTGATGGTGCGTCGGTTAAATACTTTCCCGCTGATGTACATAGAACTTTTACATGCCCTTTTGAACGTTCTTGCATTGACCACGTTGCTTGGGAGGTTCGAGAGGGAGGTGGGAACCTTGAAGGCGTTGTTACTGGCGCTCGGTCGTAGGATCTGTTCAATTCCAGTCGAGAGGAGGGGGCAGGGAGTCGGCTCACTGGCTGCTGATTGGGCTTGGTTGGGCCAGCTCTCGTGACGTTTCCTGGTGGATTGTATGTTGCTATCGAGATTTTCCTACTTGGCGCTAATGTCTCGGTTTCTGGGGCGAGGTAGGTTTTCGCTATGCTAGAACTCAGGGGGATACGAATCTGTGTCGAGGGCGTTGGCTGACTAGGGTTCGAGGGTGGAAGGTTCAGCCGTAGATGCCCTGCTCTGTGAGGAGGTAAGCAGGGGAAACGATGCTGAGGTCTACCTCAGACTTCCCGGAATTATTCCTTCAGGTGCACAATGAGTAAGCTCAGGTATGTCATATCTCAACTCACGCATCAAGACTGACTTTTCTAGGACATAAGGAAAGACTCGCGGTCCCCATGTTACGCTAAAATTGCACTTCTTGATGCACACCACGCTGGACTTGCCAGTCCCGCTTACCGCTCAAGTGTAATGGCGGCCCCCCCGCTACCTTGGCATTCTAAGCGGAAGAGACAAGGAGCCAGCTACCTGCAGGTGGTTGGCTAATACAGGTGTCAATATTGCGGTTGTTGTGGATTTTAATCTAAAGACGGCTTGGGGGTTAAGGATGGAGAGTTGAAGGGGGTGAGTTTTGCTTTATCGGACTAGTGGAGTGGAGTGGGGTGGAGTGGAGGAGGGACTAATAATGAAGGGCGGGCGGAGTAGGTTTTACAGGCGTTGCAGACGGTGCGCTCGGGTACACTAGGAATGACAAAAGCCGAGCCTAAGCTCTACCGTGTTATCCTTCTGGTTCCCATTCCTCTGCCGGTTAGTTTGCGCGCAGCTGTTATACCCATAATCTCCCTGAACCAAAGAGCTAACGCTCCAGGGCTTTCTCGCCCAAAAAGGCCGTTCCTTCTTCCAGCAGACCCCGAAATCATCAGAATTGAGCGCGCAGTCCCACAGCAATTCTCCGCTCACTTCATCCTGTACGTTATCGGAATCCGGCGATTCCGGTGGTGAACGGGAAGAACGAGGCATGTCCTTCAAACGGCCCTTGGCGCAAGGCATTGTTTTAGGGAAAACCTACAAGGATCCCGCCCCCTCTGAGTGCCTGACACCCGATGAACTTAAAGCAGATCCTGAGACCAAGGAGGGGAAGATATCGGCAGACGGCGCGTCCAAACCGGTTTCCGTTGGGAAAATGAGGAAGAGAAAATGCAAAGGGCCTATTCCATGAGAATGCATCTCCCGCTAGGGCAGGGACGTCACGAGTACGGATTTGTTATACTCCTGTTGGGAAACTCAGAATTGCAACAGAATGAGGACAGAATAATTAGAATGCAGCGATGGTTAGACAAGCTCTGGCGACACACCACTTGTAGCATGATCACGGCGAAACTTGCCGAGCCCGGTTTTCCAATCTTACCAAGGCTCATTGCCCGCCACAGAACAGCGGCATCCAACCGGAAGACTACAACATCTTCGTGCTCCAAGAAACGAATCGGAACAACTCCTCTGTACTCTCGGAACCCCTAACCCTACATGCCGTTGTGTCGGAATCTCATCCAGCTATCATAGCAAACACCCCGAAATCGCCACCCGCTGAGGTCCCACCAACCCTCGTCCTAACCTACCACGCGACGAGTGAGCTTCTACCATCAAAACACAAGTTTGTAACCCGGCGACTGAATGTACACTCAACGAATACTATAAGCCAGGCCCACGATATTTCTGGTGTTGTACCCCAGGTAGGGCCTCACAGGGGCCGTGATCCGTGCCGTGTGATCGACATGGCGCTGGGTTTGCAGAGGCGGCGGGAGTTGGGTAGGTACCGACTTGCTAGTCTGGTACAGCAGCCATTCTTCTATGCACTTGGTTGTAAATGGAGAATAAAGTGACACCGCTTCGGTTGCAGTAGAATCCAAGGTTGTGGATCGTAGGTTTTTGGGGTTGCGAGGGGCTAGAGGGGTAGTAGTTGAAGCATGAAATATAGACATCGCGCGTTAGCTTATCAACAGTGCAGCATCTTCAGTGAGATGACATCACGTGGGATTGTTACCGCTTCATGGGACGGGGCAGCGGACACACTAGCTCCGCTGCTTGTCAAACTCTGGCCCATGAAAAATAGCTTATTACCTCATGAAAGTCGGATTGGAATTAAGGGCAAACTAGGGGCACCGATGCAATAGAAGGGAATGAAGACCGCCAACTCGCCACAGTTTAAACGCTTGGGGAGCGGCGGTTCTACAGGTTCAAGAAAATCGTCACTACCGCCATCCCGACTTTCGTGATAACCTACGGGTAGAAGGCAAAGGGGTATAAATGAAAATTATGAAAGAAAATATGAAGAGTTGGAATGAGAAAGCGTAAAGAGAACAATGAAACGAGTATGCTAGGGGCAGACTTGTTATTCGGTGACCTTGCTCTACATATGGCTGTGGCCAAAGAGGACTCTTTAAATACATAAGTTAACCACCAACTCTTCCGGGAGTCTCTTAAGCATAATCACGCTATTCGGTATTTTCTCACACCATTTCCTTACCCCTCTTTCCTGCTCTTCTGTCCTGTTTCCAAGTGCCTTGTTTACTCCTCACTTCGCATACTTTACCGAGCACCGGACTCCGGTGATCCATCCGATATTCTTCTCGCGTCTTCTCAATTATAGTAGGTAGGGATTATTTCCGGAGGAGCGCCGGTGATCAACAACACTATGGGGTATGATAGGAATTTAATTTTTTTGCCTAACCCTCCCTCCCTTTTTTGTCATAAATAAACACCCAGATCTAAAAACATCACAAACGCAATCACTTCCCCTTCGAAAGAGCTTCCGCCGTATCGGGATTTTTTGACATTCTGAGCTCCATCCGCGAGGGCTCAAGCACAATTTTCCACTGAAGTGTAAACCTCTAGCTTCGTGTTGCCTTGTATTTTTGTTTCAAGCGCGGAATCAACGTAGGCTCTACGTACCAGAGCCTGACAGATACATTAGAAAAACAGGATCTAGTAATTTATTGCATAGAAAACATACCGCTGCTGTGAAGAGCCCATCATCCGACTTCATCTAGTGGTCATGTCTTTTGAAAGCTTCGTCGTGCCACCTGAATCCTTCCTCTATCTTCTGAAGAAGGTGTGTCAAGTCCTTCAATTTTGGAAACAGTCGGTACTGCTTCAGGTAAATTGAGTATCCTTACCTTCTCGACAGAAGTCAATCTCTTGTTAAGGGAATCGATGACATTACTCATCGTCATATTGTCGGTACGGGTCTTAGTATCGGCACGGATCTGGGTCTCACCCCCCGCCCACTCACGGTGTAACATCCTACCCCTGGCTCCTACCATCCCACTGCCCCCCTGCCCCCCAGCCCATACGCGTAGCCCCGCCCGCTGCCACTCCCAGAGGAGCTTGAGCTTTTTGTGTAAACCCTTTACGTAGAAGAGATCAATGTCTTCTCTCGCTGTGTCCTGTTGTTCCTCGTGGATCCAATCCTCCCCCGGCTGAAGGCAAGTGCCCTCAGCTTGGATGAATGTGCCCGCAACCGCGAGAAGAAAGGCGGCCATCGGCTTGACATCTGCTTTTGGAGCTTCTTAGTAAAGCATTAGTACTAATGCAAGTAAC